GCTTTTTAGGAAAACAATACTCCGTAAAGGAAGAACACTTGAAGTAAGGGCCTGGCAGTTATTTCCCCTAAGTGATAGAGCAGATAATATGGCTTGGCCTTAGTTTTCCAGTTTGTGAAATGGGGATAATAATACCTAGCTCATAGAGTTCTTTTTTTTTTTTTTTTTTTTTTTTTTTTTTTTTTTTTTGAGCCAGAGTCTCGCTTTGTCCCCCAGGCTGGAGTGCAGTGGCCAGATCTCAGCTCACTGCAAGCTCCGCCTCTCGGGTTTAAGCCATTCTCCTGCCTCAGCCTCCCGAGTAGCTGGGACTACAGGAACCTGCCACCTTGCCCGGCTAGTTTTTTGTATTTTTTTAGTAGAGACGGGGTTTCACCGGCTCATAGAGTTCTTATGAGAATTAAATGGGCTAGAGTATAAAAGGGCGTGGGTCATCGTGGTTGGTGATGGTGTTGGTGACAGTGTTAAGGTGGCAGCACGGGCTGAAAGAACTTGTCATTTCTGTACTTTCAGGAATGAAGTCATATAAGTGCTTGGAACACAGAGTTAATTATTGTTCTCCATAATCAGTTCCTCTTCTGAATACAGTACTCCTCAGCGTCAGGAGGTAATTCCAGAGAGTGAGTTTAAATCTCTCTGTGGAAATTTTAGCCTTTGTTTGTTCTTTCTTGATAAAGAGAGAAGAAAAACCATTCAAATCATTGGCAACCCTATGCCACAACTCGTCGTCAGTCTTAGAGCTTGTTATTGGATTACTTCTTAATGATCTCTTCTTGGGGATAATTAATTTCACTTTCCTTAACATCCCTCCTGGTGCCCATCTTCGAAACGTTTATGTGAGTCTTTTGTTTTCTGTTGTCTCCCAGAGTAATATTCCTTCCAGGCTGGGAAATAGTTGTTGGGTAATGGGTCAAATGTATTAATAGGCAGGCCATATGGTTCCCAGACACCTTGCACTCAACAACTTGATAGAGTTCTGGTGGTATGATTTTTTAAAATTTTAACTATAAAAGTATAAGAACCATCTGCTGTTATTTTTTTGTATGTGATCCTGGTAAGTTATTAATTTTAGTTATACTGCACCTATGTAATTAGCACTGTTCCACATGCAGGCTTCAAGGCAAAGCTTGTATACTTTATTTTCAGTAGTAATGTGTGTGGAATGTGTATGTCTCATCCAGATTCCCTTCATAAATTGAAGCAGGTTTCCCTACATGGGGTTAGGACTTGGGATTTATATGGCTTCTGTTTTAGCTGGTAAAATGCTATAATTGTAGTGGTTAATTAGATTGATTGATAATTAGTCACATACTAACTACTATGGAGCAAACTAAATAGGGTAATGTAATAGAGAGTGATGCCTGGGTGGGTATGGGGCTCCTAGGATCATGAAAGCCTTCAGGGAAGGAGAAATTTGAATTGAGTTCTAAAGAGTAGTGATAATGAGACAGGTAAATGAGTATCTGCAGTGGGATAATTATAAGGGAAAGGAAGAGTTAAGAGCAAAGGCTCTGAACTGGGGAATAAGCATCATACAGAGAAAAGTTCATGGGGCCACAATGTAGTGAGACAGAGGATAATGCAGGCAGCTGAGGGCAAAGAGGGTCTACTCTAAGAATAATAGGAGGCTGTGGAAGGAATTAGGCAAGGAATTGGTATCTGATTTACAGTTTTAGGAAGCTCATTTTAGCTGCTAAGTGGAAATTTGATAGTTAGGAGCAAGAATTAAGGAAGGGAGATCAGTCAGGAGGTGATAGCTGTTGTGTAGAAGAGACTGATGGAGAAATGATGGACTAAGTGTCTGTGGTATAGATGGTGAGAAGTGATAGGGTTTGGGATATAGTTTGGGACAGTCATATTGAATGGTTCTTAGTTTTCAGTCTGAATAACTAGGTGATTGGTGTTATAGTTCTTACTCAGATACAGAGGGCTTGATGGCTATTTTTTGGTTGGTTAAGTTTGAGATGGCTCATGGACACCCAAATGGAAGTGTCTAGAGGACATCTGAATCTGGATGTTAGAAGAGAGATGAAGGCTGAAATATTGATTTAAATTACATGAAACTCAAAAGTGTAGACAGAAAGGAGGCAGAGGTCTGGGTCTTGAATACACTACCATTTAGAAGTTTGAAAGAAACCCCAACAAAGGACATTGATGGAGGTAGCCAGAGAGGTTGGAGAGAACCATGTGCTGCATAGACACCTGGAAAGGAATCGTGTCTCCAGAAGGAGTGACTGGTGACCTCATCATTAGGTTTCAAGTGTTAGTACCCAGAACCCGCATTAAATGTCATTTGAAAAGTGTATTCTGTAGCTGTAAACTCAGTGATGACTAGAGCAAGTTGGGCCCAGTGCATGCCTGGAGAAACCTTTAGCCATGGTAGAATAAAAAATGGACAATCTTACCTCCTTGGGGGCTATGGGGCAAGAGTCTTTGTTCAAGTCTCAATCAGGATTTGTGAGATTTTCATACCATTACTAAAGCAGCAAAGAGTAATTAGTGGTTTTTTAAAATGGCAATTATATAGACAGCTGGTACAGCTATGCCACAAGTCAGTTCTTTGAAAATATTCAATAACTAAATTCTGATCAATATCTTCCAGACTTTAAGGTTGACCTAAAATAAAAACCTATAACTAACCCAGTGCAAGACAGGACACATAAGAATATTTACATTTTTAACTACATAACGTGTTAATCCTGACAAGATAGGTCTCGTAACAAATCACTTTCTAAATTTTATCTTTTCTTAGTATCAATCACAATGACTTGAAGGCAACTTCTGTTTGGTAGTTAACTTTAGGTTATGAAGAATCGCTGTATTATGTTTGTCATTTGATAAATTACATTATTTAAATGAGGAATAGAGATTTCTTGATCTCTACTTCTCTTAAAGTGAAAACATAATGCATTCTAATAAACATTTTAAACAGAAGGGCAAAACTGAAGAGTCCTTTTTTTTTTTCGTACCATGTGCTACAATTTAATAGGTCATTTTGTCTGCTGTATTAAATGTATTTTCTCTAAAACCCAGAGCAGGATCAAGCTGTAAACAAGATGCTTTATTTTGGTGATTCTCATTGTTTGGATAAATAGTGGATTTGCTTTAAATTAAGCAAAGCTACATTTTTATTCCAGAAAGTTCAATTGATAACAAATACCCAGGCAAACTCTGCAAATATTTATTCTTACCTTTTAACTTACTGACATTTAGTAGAATTTTACAAATAGATAAAGCTTAATAATCATGTAGTAAGCTGATAGTTGGCAATACACTATGGTGAGGAATAGTGTATTGGTTATTCAACCAAATCCTTGATTCACTAACTGAAGGAAACTTACTGCAAACAAAACGTCAGAAAATGTTCTCTTTCTATAACTTTAGCAGAATGACTCTGGTTCTGCTGCTTTGCATCAAAACAAAATTTTATGTAATTGAAAATTCTCCATTTCTCTAAGACCAAGTGGAAGTAGCTCATTTACCTGGTTGGCGCTATCCAGTTTTCAAAGACTAAAGCTTAAGGGCTAGGAATTTACCTCCAGTACAGCTCTACCCAAGTAATAAATGAGTAGAACATTCAGCCATTCTGACAGCTGTGTACTTACTTTGTGTGAAGGTTATAGGATGTAACAAGCCTTGCTCTTGGATCCCTCATGAGCAATTATCTTTTTGAGGAGTCCTACTGTCCTTGGGTGGTTCCTGGTGTCCAGAGCCACATGTAGGAGGGGCACAGGGGGAGAAAAGGAGGCTCTTGGCTCTCCTCTCTCCTCCCTTCTCATCTTCTGCCCTCCCCTCTGCTATGTGGTGAACATGAAGAGGAAGGGCCTCCTGAGTGAGTCCGGCTGTGGAAGAGGGTGAGCATGGTTGCCCCCTGCCTGGGTGGTGGTGGTAGAGAAGAGGTGCCTTCAGGATGGGTTCTTCTAGGGAAGGGGCTGTGTCTGTCCCACACACCACTTCCACAGCACTCAGCACTGTGCCTGGCACCTAAATGCCCAGTAACTCCTTATTGAACATGGAGTGATTAGGCGTCAGGGCTCATATAGTGCACAGTGGAGTTTCTTCTCTTCCCCTCTACTAGTTATTTCCTTGAAACACATACATTTGAGCATCAAACCAAATCCCAAGACCCCACACCTGGGGAAATCTCTTGATTTACTGTACAGAAGGGCCCTCTTTGTCTTGGAAGCCTCAACTCAGTTAAAGCATCACTTATGCATGAGAAAGAAAACACAATAATTCTTTTGGACACAAAGCAATAGTAGCTTTCTAATAAGAGGAGCTCCTTAAATCTGTTTGTCCCATCTTCCCATTGACTAACATTTAAGCACATCACCTTGGCTAACTGTGCGCTGCATGAACTGGCTCCTGATTTGCTTGCCCTCCAGTTCCTTGAACACACCAGGCCCTTTGCTGTCTGCTGGGCTCCTGCCTGGGATGTGCTTCTGCAGTTCTTCAGGAGCCTCCATCTTCCTGATTCTGTGAAGATACACTTAAGTGGTCCTTCTTCACCAGGCTTTCCTTGCCCTCTCTAGCATTCCCTCTGTCCTGCCATTTTAAACCTAGGCATTTTGCATTTTCCTCTGTGTTTGCTTTCTTGCTTATTAGCTATCTGCTCAACTTAATTAAATGATTCACAAGAGCAGGATTGTTTTGTGTGGTTTTTTTTTTTTTTTTCAGCGTCTAGCCCAGTGCCAGGCTCTGTGTAAGTGCTCAGTAAATACTTGGTCGAATGAATGAATGAGTCTCAGCCTACCCTTCATTTAAAAAGTGGTTAAATTTAAATTTTTTAAAATCTCAGATTCTCAACATACAGTGCACATACACGCAATGCATGTGTGGTATATGCTATAAAAATTCCCTACTCTTGGTAATGAACTGCCTTAAAGAATAGGGTTGGTGATTTAGTGCCTATGGCCTAGCTACTAATGTCAGCGCTTTTTTATTCCTAAACGTCTAATGTGTTTTTTTCCCACCCTTTTCTTTCCTTTGTCTTTCTTTTTTAGCAAGGGAAGCCATATGTCTTCGACAGAGTGCTACCTCCCAACACAAGCCAAGAGCAGGTTTACAATGCATGTGCGAAGCAAATTGTCAAAGGTAAGTGCTATTTCTTTATTTCCTCCTGGGCCATTCAGAGTAATTGAAAACATTAAGTGATATTTGCAGCCTAGGAATCAATGTGCCTTGACTGTAAGCAGAGGCCTGCTAATTGGAAACACTGAATTCTATAGCCTCGGTTCTAGCCCTGATTTGCTATGATGTCAGGCAAATTATTTAATCTCTCTATTTCCCCTTTTCAAGGACATTTATTTATTTCTTTTGCCACCTTTTCTATTTTGTCACCCAAAAGTTTAAAGGAAGGTAAGCTGTATTCACACTATTTCTGTAACAATTTTAAAACACTGCTGCAGGTATGAAACCTCCTTTTTCCTTTGAAGGAGAAAATATATATTCCTGATGCTTCAGTTGTACATCTTTGGTTGATTTACTCTGTGCATCTGTCTCCCTTTTACTAATGTCTCTCAGCAAGAAGACTTAAATATGGAAAATTTTTGCCATTTAGAAATTTTCTACAGTGTCATAAAATCACATTACCATGTTGGTTATCGAGCCTGGTCTTGCTATTCAGCATTCCTTAATGATGCTTTCTCCTAACCCATTTTCAACCATCCCACCCAGATCCTGACATTTGTTCCTCCAAACAGGTAGCCTCAAGCCTACATTTACGTCTTAGAGATCAGTCCTTTTCTCTAGGACTGGCATTGGCCCTGGAGGATTCATGTCAAAATAGCAGCAGGGAGATGAAGCAATTTACACATTGCTCTACCTTGTCCTTTCAAATCAGGGGCAGGTTGAAGCTTGCATTGGCAGGCTTGCCATCTGGACAGAGCTGGGGGGCATCTCCTGCTACTTTGCTTTTCATCATCAAATCCTTGCCCTCAAATGTGAATGCTATGGCAATTGTGCTTTCAAATGTCTTGATGCTGCCCCCTTTATAGGCAGCTCTGGATTTAAAAAGCAAGAAGTAAAAACAAAACCAAAATAACCTACCATGTCACTTTGGATCTGCTTGTGTTTAGAAGCTGACTAACCTAAGTATTTGAAATTCATGAAAATCAGCTCTCGGTACATCTGTTCGATTAATTCTGACCCTGGACACCTGTGTGGGAGATGCATGTCAGCATGTAATGTTCCTTGCTGAGGTGGATGGTTATTCACATTCTTGCTGCAGACATCAATTAATTTTGAAGGTCTTCACAGTGAGATTTTTATAGAAACCCAATGAGAAAAAAATATGCCTGAATTTGAGCTCTTTCTGAATTAATAGTATGGACCTATATCGGGTGGTAATTTTCGTCGTCTCTCTACTTTTACTCTTCTGCTTCTCTTTCTATCTAAACATGTTTTCTGTGTTTTCGCAGTATGTCTTTCTTGGTTTGCTCCTACTCAGCCCTGCTCCCTATTATTGGACTCATTCATATATTTTTTATTAAAGTAAGATTAATCACATATGTGCCAGAATTTCTTTTTCTCTCCCCCTTCATTACCACAAACAAATAGTATTTACCACATGCTGTGGTAAACGTGAGGGCCATTTAAATACATCCTGTCCTCTGTAAGCTGACATAATTAGAAATGGATGCACCCTGTTAAAAAAAAAATCCTGTGATTAACAAACTATAGTAATACTCTTTGAGTCCTTATTCACAAAAGAAGTTTGGGCCTCTTTCAATGTTCGGATTTCTCTACAGTATGAAATGTCAGAAACGGGCAGGTCTTGTAAAGATGCGGCCTAACTGGATAATTTGAGACCCAGTATATAGTGAGCTATAAAGAAAACCATCTAGTAGAATAAAATCAGGCCCTGACATGATATGACAAAAAGACATTTCTAGGGTATCATAAATATATATGATCATACATACATGCCTTATTCTCCTTTAAAAAGGAATTGATGAAGGTCTGATTGAACTTTCACAAATATCCACTGAGGCTAATGTGAGAAGTGGCCATGTATTTCAGAATCAGTAAGCTAAAGCATAGAGATACAAGAAAGAACTCCTTGGAATAGATGACCAGGTACAGCTGAGGTATCTCTTGCCACGAGGAACCCTATTTAAATCAAGATTGGGAGGTAGTGCTGTGGAGCCCTTTTTTCCTAGAGGCCAATAATTAAATCGGATGGCTTCCTTAGGGTACCACAGTCCCCTTGATTCCTGATAATGGGTGGACTGAGGAGCATTCCTTTCAAGTCCATCTAAACTCTTAATGATTTGGAGCATCTGGGAGGCTCCATTTAACTTGATGGCTTTATTCTCTCTCTGGTTTTTCATTCCCTACCACTTCACTGGGTTAAAAAAATACTTTAAATGTTTGTAGAGCCCTGGCATCTCTCATGCTCCCATCTTTGGTGTTTGTTTTTCAAAATGTTGCTTGAAAAGGCATGTAGAATTCTCCTCCATTTCTTCTCAAAGAGGTTGTAGGTTTGTGACTACCAGCACAGTAAATGGGAAGGCTCCTTTGGACACCTAGGAGTCAAACACCATGGTAACTGGATGCTATTATCGAAGTACTATAACTATGTCCCAGCCTACAGAAGCCACACCAATTATTTGCCTTCTAAATTAACTAGATACGGATGATCCAGATGCTAGAGAAGGGGATTTCTTGCTTTCCAGTTCTGGTTCCTTTAAAATTCATTCATTCAGTTGTTTCTTTTAATCATTCATTTGTGTAAGTTGTATTTAGTACTCACCACGGGGTAAGCACTGCTGGGACTGGAGTCGCCATGCTATGTAAGACTGTCTGCAAGGAGCTTTGGGTACAGGGAAAGAGACAGATGTGTACATAATCATCACACACATAGGCATTATGTACTTTAGAAAGGGTGTATGCAAAATGCCACGGGAACACGGAATAATGTCACTTGTATTGATTTTGGTCGGGAGAGGGAGTGGAGAATTAAAGAAGGTTTCTCTGAAAGGTTGGGTCCTGAGGACTATAGAATATAGCAGGGTTGTACAAGCAGAGGGGATTGCAAAAGTAAAAGCATAAAGACACAAATTCTGCTTGGGCAACTTGGAGTGGCAGAGGGTGCAGAGCGGCATTATGGGAGATGAGGCTGGGAAAGTTAGGCTGGAGCAATTTGATGGAAATGGATGGACTTTATCCTGCAGACAATGTGGACCCAATGAAGAATGTTAAACTTAGGATGATATTACCAGATCTGTTTTGTTATTATCTTACATATGACTCTGAAGAAGAAAAAATATTTTTAGCTGTGACTTATCAGGCACTGTCTATATACTTGACATATGTTGTCGCATTTTAAATCAACAACTTTCTGAAGGGAGTTGCATTTTAAATCAACAACTTTCTGAAGGGTGAGCATTATTTTCCTCATTGTACAGAAGAGGAATTTGAGGCTCAGAGAAGTGAAGTAACTTGGCCAGGTTGGTTGGGGGGCCATGGACTGGGACTCAAGCCTGGGCTTGTCGGACTGATTGACTGATGTTCTTCTGCACTCCCCTGCCTCCCTTCCTGGTGAGCACACAGCGAGCATTTGGTGACAATTATTTTATGAGCGGTCCCTGTTCTGTCAGGCCATATGGACTATTAACTAAGCATTGCAAAAGACAGGGCTGGGAATGGTGTGGGAGGAGGGTAGAGAAGAGGGGACAGGGATGGTGGCTCCCACACCTTGTGGTGGCCCTGGTGATCTGCCAGTGATGAGGCATGTTTCCATTCTGAAGACGCAGCATGCCCTTGCCTGGGCACAGTGATTAGCCTTTAGTCTGGCCAGCCGGCACGCAGGCTGGCCTCGGGTGGTCAGCAGGACCGCCTCTTCATCCTCTGGTTGTGGCCTGAGTGGTTTGGTGACTGGTGAGGATGGCCTGTCAGCCACTATCACCAGAAACCCTACAGGCCCCCATTTCCCCTGGAGAGTCAGTAGGAAGCCCCATGCCTCCTTAGGACTACTGATGGGTAGATATGATCAAATCCTCCCCCAATTCTAATCTGGAAATGTCATTAACTCTTTTGCTTTAGCAAGACCTGGATTCAGAACTGGGCAAATGGGAGGCAAGGAGCATTTTAAGTATCTACTGCTATCCTTCCTCCCCTGGGAGATGAGAAGGCTCTGGGCACCTGCGGCGGAAGCTCCTTCTGGGGTTCATGCAGCTGCGGGATGGAAGAGTGCTGTGGCCTGAGGTGCGGCGGGCTGTGCTGTACCAGTGGAGGTCACATCACACCAGGCACCAACACAAAGAAACGTTCTGTCTGCGGAGCGTGGCTGAAATGTGGAAACAGTCATTGTTTCTGCAGAGACTCTAAAACAAATGCACTCCGTGGGCCCAGGAGCGGGCAGTGGACGTGATGAAAGTGCCTTTTGTGGGCGCTTCTGTGGGAATCGGGTCGGGGGCGGCGTGGCCCCCGCAGTGCAGAGCGCGTCCTGGCCTTTCCCGCTGCGGCTCCCCCACTGCCTGTGGTCGCGGTGGCCATAGAAACGCGCTGGGCTCCTGCTCCACTTCCCCTCTGTGCCTCCCCTCACCAGCAAATCAAAACACAGACTGAGCAAACAAACAATAAACAGAAAACAAGCCCCGAAAACCTGGAGTTTCGAAGAAAATAGAGAACACCGGCTTCAAAGAGCCTTTTCGTTTAAATTACCTTCTAGTGCAGCGCGGAGCCGATAGAGGGCGACGTCGGCTCCCTTCAACCTTGAGCGCTGGAGCGAGGTTCTGCAGCAGTGAATGAGCTGTAACCTGATTGTAAATACTTTCAGGGCCGAGTGGAGTTTGTTCTAGTGGGGTTTTACGTGTTCTTTTCTTACAAAAAAAGAAGGGGAAAAAAAATTGTGCTCGGTGACGAAACGGCAGCAAGAAACAGATTCTCCAAGTACAGTCTCGCAGGCTTCTCAGCTCCTTAATCCAAAACAAGTGAAGCCACAGACGAGCTTCTGTTACAGTGATGGACTCAGGGGCGTGCATGAGACCTGGGAGGCCTCTGGTGTGGCCTAATTCAGGAGGAAGCTGAGCTCTGAGCTGAGTTTCCTTGGTGTGGCGGATTGCTCGGTACCACCTCCCCGGGGCCTCCTGCGTGGGAACATCGGCACTTGCAGGGTGGCCAGCAGAGGTCAGGATGGCTGGACCCCTGGCCCTGGCAACTTCGGTGCTGTTCTAACACCTGGGCCAGTGGGTTCCAGAGTGTTTCACACACAGAGGCTTAAGACAAGGAAAGCCCTTTCAGGGGTGTGTGTGTGTGTGTGTGTGTGTGTGTAGGGGGATGGTTAATTTATAAAAAATGGTAATTTTGAATAAATGGAAACTGTAATATTGTGATGTAGCCAGCATTCCAATAGGCTGGAGTTGTTCGTGTTATGAATATGGCATTTTTAAAGTTTAACCTAAGGGTGGGACCTTGTTCCTTTGGGTCCCTCAAAGCATATCATATTCATGTTGATGTGGAGGTGCTCTGTCTGCTCTGGCCTGAGGAATCTTTTCTTTGAGTAGTTTGGCATTTTTGTGGAAACTGAAGCTTGAACCTCCAAACCTTACACTGACTACTTCAAGTTTTTGCTTCCCACTGTTACCAGGGGAACCATTAGCCGAAGTCTGATACCTGTGAACGTTCTCTGTCTCTCTCTCTCTCCTCTCTCTCTCTCTCTCCCTCCTCTCTCTCTCCGTCCCTCCTCTCCCCCAACCCCCAGTATAGCTTGATACAAACTCTTGAGGGCTACTAGAATTTAAAAAAAAAAAACAAAAAACCCGACACTTAATTTTCCTGTTCTTAGATTCCTAAAATAAAATATTGCTTTTCGTTCTTATCCCAGTTCACACTTCAACAACCTCAGATCGGTCAAATGTGTATCAAAATTGTTTTTAAAAACATAACAAATCAGAATTATATAAATTCAAAAAAGCAAACCCATCTAAGCAAAACAGAAACAAACCAGGATCATAAAATTCAGAGGACCCCCTCTACCATGCCCCCAAAAGAAAAACTCTATTTATAGAGCCTGAAGTAAGCCTAGCTTGGTTTTTTACATGACCCTGAGTAGGACACCTCGGTGTGGGCCCTTCTCCCTGCCTCTGCACCTTGTGCAAATGAAGACCTCCTCCCCTTATGCTGAATGGAGGATCAAGGATATTAATGATGCATTGTTCCTCTTCCAGTGATATTTGTGAGGATGAAGGAGGAAAGCAGGAGGGAAATGAGTGCTAAATATATTTTAATCACCTCTGCTGCTTTGAAAGAATTCCCACAGATAATCTTCAGCTCTTCAGCAAAAAGCAGCCTCCACCCTCGAGCCTCCCCTTGTCTCTGTGTGATGTGGCACCGACCTGCAGTGTGGAAGGCTTTGCACAGTGCTCTCATTGTGTAATGAAAAGACGTTTCCTGATGCTGATGGGCCTGGGCTGGCTTGTTAGCACTGTCAGTGCAAACACAGAGACATTAAATTTAAGTGAGGGCCCGGCTAGTTTCTGGGTTGATTGGATTGTCACCGTGAGGCTCTGTTTATAGAGTGGGGCCCTTTTCCTCCCCTGCCTCTGGACTCAAGGAGCTCTGGTAGAGCTTTCAGGAGAAACCTCCCCAAGGAGCTAGCCTGGGCCAGCGTTTAAACTGAGGAAAGAAATTCTATTCTTCATCTCACTCCAGAAACTTAGGGCATAAGAATAGTGTTTTCTTTTTCCCCCAACTAATCTCAATAGATCGACTTCTAGAAGACAACTCAAATATCCTTCTACTAAAAAAAAGTTTTGTGCTCGATGTCTCTGTCTTGATTTTGATGTCATTGGGAGAACGTGTGTCTGCCTCCTTCTTCATTAATATATTCTGTGAAGTATGAGTCCGTTTCTTTCTATTTGTAGAACAACAGAGGCCTGCATTTCTGCTCTTATCTCATAATTCTACTTAAAATTCACAAGGAGTTAAAATATATCATTTGTATGAAAAATGAGATGGGCCATTTGGAAAATGTAATTTTAAAATATGCAACCTACACCAGCATATGATCAAAGTAATGAGTTAATTTTAATTTCTTTTTCTTGTTCACAGATGTCCTTGAAGGTTATAACGGGACGATTTTTGCGTATGGGCAGACTTCATCAGGAAAAACCCACACCATGGAGGTAAGATTACAATGTCTAATGCGAATCTCTGAGATGACTGAATGCAACTGACGTTTCCAGCAAAACTTGAGGTGCATGTGGCTTTCTTTACTGGGAAATAGAGACGGTTATGTTTGGCCAATTAATTATGTCTTTGAGAAGTTTTAAAATAGCAGTGAAAAATAAAGTCTCAGGAATTCAGTATTTTTAAAAGGCCTTTATTGATAACTTTGTGATGGTAAGAATACATTCTATTCGGAACCAATCATTGATTAGCTAAGCAGTAGTGTGAACATCATTCTGGACTTCAGCCTCAATCTAACTGGGAAAGCCTATTGGGAAAATCATTTACCTTGATGAAGGCCCCCGGGGAGGTACATCTCTTAGAATAAATGAAAAATCAGAGATTTTAAAAAGTTGGCTTATGAGCCACATTCAGCCCACAGACGTATTTTTGTTTGGCCTGCCCATTATGTATATTTTTTAAATTGTAAGCAATGTTAAAAATTGGATGATTTCACACCATTCAAATTTTCCATCTTAGGTTGAATATTCTGAAGATCTGGCAGCACTGGGTGAATTTCACCATAATATAAAATTCAGGCTTCTCTGTTCACTTCATTGTCCTGTTCACCTTTTTGTTAACATTTCTAGTGCAGGGAATAGCTGCTGTCACCTAGGAGAAGTTTGGTAAAATATCTGTTAGTATTTGTGAAAATGGTGCCTGTGGTCCTGGCCCTGGCCACCCCACGTATATGGGGCGGGACTCTCCATTGTACTCACACCCAGCCCACTTCATGCACACTGGGGTGAAGATGAACTTATATTCGGCATCCTTCCTTATTAACTTACATACCTGCTCCCTGAAGGCACTTCAGGGTATGACCCCAGCTCCATTTGTTGGCTGTGGAACTTTGTGGCTTCAGTTTGTTTTGCAAACAAGGCAGGTCTGCAGGCAAAATTGAACCCCTTTGCCTCCTCTTTTCTTTTTTTTTAAATCACCAAATCCTATAGGGCCTTCAGGGCCTGATAATTCTTCTAAAGGTGAGACCCACCTGACAGGTGAGGAGAGGTGGTAAGCGTGGTTATTATAAGAAACTGCACAGAGGAAGTTTGGGGAATTCAGCAGCAGGGTAAGATGAATCCTTAATCCTTCCAGCTTAGGGTTTTTCATTTACGATGCCCTCCTGGGAATAGCACTGAGACGGCTGCTGCAGAATCGGTTTAACTTATGAATCATTCCTATTGAAGAGGAGATTTCAAAGGCACGAGGCTAAACTCCTCAGGGCTCTGATGTTCTGCTCATACTGATTTCAAGTGTGGGTACAGTGCCGGGGATCTCATTTCTGTGGTGTTGACTCTCTTTCACCCGTTTTGCTGAAGACAAAGTGGTTCAGAGACTGCACAGATTAAAGGAAGCATGAGGTTTATTTATCACTTCTTTCTGACTAAGCAGGTCTTTCCCTTGACACCTGAGTGGCCTCAGCCCGTCTCCTCCTCTCACACTCTACTGCAGAACGTCTTGGAAACACTGGCCCTGGTATCCCCATGCTCCTGCCCCGACCCCTCGCCTTTCCCTCTCTTACTGGGCCCCCGACTCTTGACCTTGAGACTATACAAAAGTTACAGTTCTACATTTCCTGGGTCCCACCTAGTCCAGTAGCTGTGGACAAAAACTTCCTCATAGGTCAGATGGCACTTGAAAGAGAGATATGGTGTCTAGTGAGGAATTCAATCAGTCCGGAGGTTTTCGTTTTGTTTTTATATTACCAAACTGTATATAATACCAAACAAAAACAAACAAACAAAAGCAACCCGCGTTATTTAAAATCCCCCCAAATCTCTTGGAATGCTTACAAGAGTGACCTTTTAAGCTTTGGGATTAGAAAATATAAGGTATTTGCTAAATGCCAGAAATTTAAACTGTAAGACATCAAGAGAGAGAACGCTCCCCAGTGTAACATCTTATTTCAGGAGAAGAGATGGATATAGGGTAATGGCAAAGAGCTATGCCCTGCCTTTAAACCTAATATGGGAGGCCAGGCGTGGTAGCTTATGCCTGTAATCCCAGCATGTAGGTCAGGAGTTCGAGACTAGCCTGGCTAACATGGTGAAACCCCATCCCTACTAAAAATACAAAAAAAATTAGTCAGGCGTGGTGGCGCACATTTTGTAGTCCCAGCTACCTGGGAGACTGAGGCAGGAGAATCGTTTGAACTAGGGAGGCAAAGGTTGCAGTGAGCCAAGATTACAGCACTGCACTCCAGCCTGAGTGACAGAGCAAGACTCCGTCTTAAGAAATAAATAGATAAAAATAAATAAATAAAATAAAAATCCAAAAAACAAAAACTCGTATAAGAGATATTTTGCTAAACTAGAGGCTCTCAAGCCGTCCGTGTCTTACAGTGTAAACTCCACAATGCCTGCCCAGCGAGGACTCATGGGGGACCTGAAAGGAACTGGGTTCCGGACAGGTTTCGCCTCTGGTTGCCTAAATTCTGTCACCTCTTCATCTTTGTCAGTTTTAAAAGGTCGATTGTAATGAGTTGCTTTTCTTTATTGTGACTTTTGCAGATCACATACTTGTGCCTACAGTTAGAAATAGTTGATGTAGATGGGAGTTTTTTCCTAGTGCCACCCACCCCCTCACTTAATCGAGTTCTTTCTGTAGGGTAATTATAGATTGGAGCAAAGGTAAGGGATATTTTCAGAGGAAGACAGAGGGAAGGAGGAGCCTCAAGCTGAAGTCATAGATACTGCAGGAGACCAAGAAATCCAGGATCCTGGAATGCGATTAAGTCAAAAGAGCCCTATACAGGGTCTGCATTCTCTGAAAGGAGGATTTTATGTATTCAAATTACACATTGTGATCTTCCAAAGGCTTTCGGAAGGGGATGTTAACTCCCTGAGTGTCCCTGAGTGGACAGAGCAGTCACATGTTAAAGCTGTTTTTCACTTTAATCCCCCTGGTTTTGGTCTGACCTCCAGTGGTGACTCTATTACCTTGTATTGAGGGGAACAAACAGATAAGCCTACATAAAATTGGAAAGATTAGCTTCTCAAGATGGAGCACTTAAGGTAGGTTTTCAGTAAATATATGACTCACTGGATGGTGTTAATGCTAAGCTTGGTGGACACCAACACACAGAAGGTCCTGGGCTTGTGTTGCCTATACCCAGGGTTGGCGCTGGGGAGGACACAGGGGGTTCCAGCTCCAGCTGAGGAAAAGGGGACGGACTGTTCTTTTTGTTCAGTGTGTGATGCTGGGAAGGGCTTCTCTTGGCCCCATGCCCTACTTTGTGATCCTTTTCTGCACACTGATATAGATGGACGGAGATGCTTTGTGTTTTTTCTTTCTGCCCAAAGAGATGCTTGGAGGTCATCTGAATGGTACAGGCTTCCCGGCCGCCCCGCCAAGCCTGCCAAGTGATTTCGAACAAGGCTATCTGAACGCACAGTGCTCATGTACTGACGGGCTGACATCTTAAGTGTTTCAGGAAACTCTTGCCCTGCTTGGGAGGTCAAGGAGGCAACTGGGGTTGGAACAAAGAGAGTCTTGTTCAGTGGCTGGTGGCCTGGGTCCTGTTTCTTCTTTCACATGTGCTCCTAAAAGATCACATTCCATGGGAAAAGTTTGTGGATAAAATTATACAGGATGCAGTTATAAAGATCTTTCTCCTATGTGCTTTCCGGAGGAAACAAGGTGGTGAAGCAGCGGATTTCTTTGCTCCCCAAGTTCATCTTTGATCCTTCAGCTACAATACACTTTCACTGTTCTTTCTCAGTTCCTGTACCTTGTTCTCCCACTCACCTTCTCTGCCCACATCCTCTCTGCCCATTCCTAAACTTACTCATTCTTCAAGATTTGGTGTCCCTCAAGGAAGCCATCCCATATTACCCATTTATTACTGGAAATCTGGGACATTTCTAGTCTCTGAATTTCTATAGCTCTCAGCTGTTTTCCCACTTCTTACTGCCCGAAGCAACTGTGCATTGTGGGTCTGGACTGCACATCTCATCTGCAAGGGTCAGTGTAGAAGCAGTGAAGACCTCTAAGGAGCACCTGTCATACACACATACACAGACACACCACACACCACACACCACATTCCACCCCCCACATATATCATACACACACACAGACATATGCACACCACACACATATATACACAGACATACCATACACCACATACCGTACACCCCCCACATACATTGTACACACACACAGACATATGCACACCACACACATATATACACAGACACACCATACACCACATACCATACACCCCCACATACATTGTACACACACAGACATATGCACACCACACACATATATACACAAACACACCATACAACACATATCATACATCCCCACATACACTGTACACACACAGACATACGCACACCACACACATATATACACAGACACACCATACACCACATATCATACATCCCCCACATACATTGTACACACACACAGACATACGCACACCACACACATATATACACAGACACGCCATACACCACATATCATACATCCCCCACATACACTGTACACACACACAGACATATGCACACCACACACATATATACACAAACACACCATACACCACATATCATACATCCCCCACATACATTGTACACACACACAGACATACGCACACCACACACATATATACACAGACACATCACACACAGACATATTACACACCACATACCACACCCCACATACATTGTACACATACACAGACATATGCACACCACATACATATACACAGACACATCACACACAGATGCACCACACACCATACCTCCCACATACATCACACACACACACACATACACACACAGACACACCATATACCACATACCCCCCACATACAGGATACACACACAGACATATGCACACCACACACATATACACAGACACACCACATGCATAATATACACACAGACACACCACACACCATATACCACACTGCTTAAATACATCATACACACAAACATATACACATCACACATATACCTACACAGACACACCACACACCACATACCACACACCCCCCACATACATCATACACATACAGACATATACATACCACAGACATACCTCACACCACACAAGGCCCTCACATGCATCATAAACACACACAGACGTATATATCACAAACATACAGACACACCACACAACACATACTGCACATGCCCCCATACATCATACACACGCAGACATATACACATCACACACTTGCACACACAGACATCACATACCACCCCTCCACATACATCATACATATACACACAGGTATATGCACACCACACACAAACACAGCACACACTACACACTGTATACCACATGTGACCCCTACATACATCATAAACATACAGAGAGGTACACCTCACACACCTACATATGGACATGCATATGTCACACTATATACCACACCCCCATCATACACACACAGACATACACACATACAGACATACCATATACCCCACACCACACATCGTATAGCATACCCCCCACATACACACACACACAGACACCACATACAGACGCTCCCACATATACATGCACACATACCGACAGACCCCACATATATACACATACAACACACACACATACCCCCATATACACACACACACACACACACACACCGCATACATCATACAGACACAGACACCACATATCACACATATACAATACACACACACCACAGAATGCCACACGCGACAAGCACTCCCACACTCGCCACACTTCCTACATTCACGCTATAGCACATGCCTGCACACATTCCCTACATCCATCTCACACACATATATGCCCCACATCACACATACATGTTAATACTCCACGTACATCACACGCCCCTACACATGCAGACATAACCCTCACACCCTACACTTGTATCACACACAGACATACACCACACACACATCACACATCCATATGCTCCCCTAACACGACACACACACACAGACACACACACACACACACAGGCACACTCCACATGCCCTACATCCTCCCCTGCATACGCACACCTGCAGATTGTTTCGGCAGGCCTAGTTTACTGCACACAAAGCCCTTACCGCTCTTGAGCATCTGAGCTGGATCAAGCAGGCCAGCTGCTAGGCCTGCAGTGGATTTGGGTATGCGTCTGTTCCTGTGGGGATGGGAGGCATTATTATGAGAACACTCACTTTTCTTACATTGATTTTAGGGTGAGGACTTCAGAGAGACACAAAGTAGAGAGTGTCCTAGATTCATCTCTGGTTCTGCCTTGGTTCTTGCCCTGACAAAGGCAAACAAAGGGATGTCAGCACTTGTATAAGCCAGGAATCAATGGGGAGATAAATCCATTGAAAGGGAAAGCATATAGGAAAATAGATGTGAGTCAATTATAAATGATTTTTGGATTATCAGTCGTTCTTCTCTGGCTGTGGGCTACTGAGGAGAAGCTAAAGGATTATCATCAATTATTAAAAAGCTCTGGAGGGCTTGGGTAGGGGAGGTCTTTTGATTGGCTGAGTGGAGTCATGACATTTGACAATACGGAAATGATGTTCTCACCATAGGTATTGTTCCTGCCAGTGATCTCCATGCTTCAGAGCATGTGGGGGCCCATTGTCTAATTTGTTACATGTTTATGATGGAATATACAGTTTAAAAGTTATCAAGATCTGAGATTGTCAGTCTGTCATTTGGCACTGTTTTCTTTCCGAAGATATGTATTAATTGTCAGAGATAGAAATGTGTTTCAGACTCTTCAGGTGAAATAAACTCCAACAACTTGTTCGTGAGAACCTCCTATGAGCTGAGTGATATAATACGAACATTTATTTGAGCCCGTCCCATGTCACTAAGCACTTTATATATCCTATTTAACTTAAATTATACAATAATGCTATGTAATAAATACTAAATTTTATAAGCAATGGGGAGAAATATACATGCACTGGCCATCCCTATCTTTAGGAAGTATGCAGTCAAACTAAAAAACAATATCAATACATCAAACTATTTAGATTCTTAATAGATAAGGGCATTCCAGAGGAGTACCCATTTTTCCAGATGAGACAGCTTTGCTGGAAGCCAGACTGCCGGATGAGGTGGCTCATGCCTGTAATCCCAGCACTCTGGGAAGCCAAGGTGGGCAGACACTTTGAGCTCAGGAGTTGGACACCAGCCTTGGTAACATGGCAAAACCTTGTCTCTACAAAAAATACAAAAAATTAGCCGGGTGTGGTGGTGCACACCTGTAGTTCCAGCTACTAGGGAAGCTGAGGTTGGAGGATCACTTGAGCCTGAGAAGTGGAGGTTGCAGTCAGCGCTTCAGCCTGGGCAACAGAGTGAGACCTTGTCTAAAGAAAAAAAAAATCTGGAAAATTCTCTGGGTGTACGGTTGGCACTGATCACTTTAAACCTGCAGACCGTGTGTTTGTTCACTGATGGGTTGTTGAACTCATATGAGAACTTAAATGCTTATTTGATGGTGGGCTTAGGCAAAGGCTCTCTGGAGCTTGTGTGTTGCTTTAAATGCTTCTGGAAGTCTTCATTAGGAGTTGCTGTCAGATCCTATGGCATCTTTTCTAAAATCTTCAGAGGTGGCAAATTCTGGACCTTAGAAGTGGATTTGGTAATATCCAAATAGCAGGATAATTTACCTGTCCCCATCCCCTTAAGTAAAATGAGTAAAGTAGAAAAGGGGGGAAAGAAGAATATAAGACTATCTTAAACGTGGATTTAGGTGTTAGAAACAGCTAAAACTTATTTAGAACAATTCAGCCTGGGGACTACAGATTTTTAAAAGAAATTTATGAAGTGTATTTTCTTGATTGATCTGTTAAATGATACTGAAAGTGTTGCCAGAATAAGGTTCTTAGAAATTTTGAAAAATTTTGGAAATCAGTTCTAAAGGTTATTTCATTAAAGGACATTACCTTACTTGGACCTGGAGGCTCAAGTCAGTTTGTAAATACTCAAAACCCAAACCCATATATTCTCATTCCTTCTCCTGCTCCCTTTCCCTTCTCCTCCTCACCCCACACTAGCCACATAGACACTGATTTGCTGCCTTGAGTGGCCGCTGGAGGCAATACTGTGGGCCTCAGAATTTAACAGCACAAGTGCTCCCCTGCTGGATAAACAGATGAACACATTGAGTTTTTCCACCAACTTCTGGTCTGTTGGCAAGTCAGGTAGATGCCCAAGGGAGCCGGCAGGCACACGTGGGTGCTTCCTGCTCCACCAGGTTCTGTCTAAGGAACCCAGCAATGGTTCCTCCTCTCTCTCCTGTGTCTCCCAGCACCCTTTAACGGCCTGTGTTTGTATTTTCACCCACTAGGGGAAGCTGCACGACCCCCAGCTCATGGGGATCATCCCACGAATTGCTCATGATATCTTTGACCATATCTACTCCATGGATGAGAACCTGGAATTTCACATAAAGGTATGTATTACTGATTGGTCAAGAGAAGACACTGGGCCCCAGATAACGTTTCTTATCCCTCCTCCTTTCAAATAGATATAAAAGATGATCTTACTAATTTAAATTACATTCTTGTGGTAAGCAGAGCCCTCTTCCTTACTGACCTAGGCTAACAGGTATCTGGAGGGTTTGCTTGAAATATCCAGATAATGAAAGCAAAAGCCTTCTTTAGCAGGAAATCATCTTGATTGTTGCCCGAATTCTACCCTTTATCCTCTGGATCTCCGTGGATATGACTGAAATGTGTTTGTGTGTGGGTTAGGGCAGCATTTCTCAAAGTGTGTTCTGTGGAACACAGTGCCTCGTATTATTAATGGTGGGCTTGCAGGGAAAGGGGCTATAAGGCCAAATGAGCTGGGAAAGTGCTTCCTTGAACAGTGTTAAATTTATCACAAGTTTCAACGTGCTCTGCAAAGGGGACGTGTATTAGATTACATTTCCCAGCTTATTTGAATATAGACACATTTCTCCCCCTAAGAGTATCACAGACTTGTGTTTTGAGCAGAGCGTCACAGAGCAGAAGTCTGAGAAATGTTGGGAAGAGGAATTCTCCTCCTTTTTATCTTCCTCTTTGTATTTTGTTTTTGTTTTAAACCAGAACTTGTTATGGACTTCAATTTACATTAAAAGAGAGATTTCTACTCTCTTACTGAGGCTGTTTAATAATAAAATGTGTTATTAGGATATATTCATTGGAACACCTCTTTTGCAAGTGACTGAAAGGCACTTGTTTAAGCAAATAGAGGATATTGTTATAAGAGACAGAATCTGACAGTAGGCATTTTGTGGAGGATGAAGTGTGGAGGGCAGGAAATCTAAGCCCTGTTTTTCTTTTTTCTTTTTAAACTTTTTTTTTTTTTTTTTTTTTTTTTTGAGACGGAGTCTCGCTCTGTCACCCAGGCTGGAGTGCAGTGGCGCTATCTCGGCTCACTGCAAGCCAGGATGGTCTCGATCTCCTGACCTCGTGATCCGCCCATCTCGGCCTCCCAAAGTGCTGGGATTACATTCTTTTTAAACTTTTTAAACAATTGAGATATTGTTCACATAACGCAAAATTCACCCTTTAAAAGTGTATAGATTGATGGTTTTTAATATATTCCCAACAGCGTACAATGATGATCCTTATCTAATTCTTGAGCATGTCATCACCTCCAAAAGAAACCCCAAATCCGTTACAGTCCCTGCTTTTCTGCCCTCTTGCTTGACTTCTTTCTCTTGTTCTGGAGCATCTTCTCTCTTTTTGGTGGGAGAAGGGGTTGGCAACATGGCAGCTGCTGCTCCAGCATTCCCTTATTTCCAACCCCAAATTCCCTTGCGAAGGGACTCATTGGCCCAGCCTACATAGGCTCCCCCCTGCCTGATGAGCTGTGTCCAGGATGCACATGCTGTCTGGGGGCCCCCACTGTGGCTGGGGAGGGTGAAGGGGCAGTTCTAAGAAGACTTGCTAAGCAGATCTGCTAAGAGATTTCCCTTCAGGCTGGGATCTTAGTGCACCAGGCCCATCTGTTCAGAGATGAGGAAATGGAAGTTTAAAGATGCATGGTTAGTTAGGCCGGGCGCGGTGACTCACACCTGTAATCCCAGCACTTTGGGAGGTTGAGGCGAGTGGATCGCCTGAGGTCAGGAGTTTGAGACCAGCCTGGCCAACATGGTGAAACCCTGTCTCAACTAAAAAAAGAAAAAAAAAAATTAGCCAGGCATGGTGGTGTGTGCCTATAATCCCAGCTACTCAGGAGGCTGAGGCATGAGAATCACTTGAACCCAGGAGGCAGAGGTTGCTGTGAGCTGAGATCGCTCCACTGCACTCTAGCTTGGGTGACAGAGAGAGACTCTGTCTGAAAAAAAAAAAAGACGCGGAGTTAGAAGGCCCAACTTAAACAGCAAGTTATTGATAAAGCTAAGAATTGACCCTAGGTCTGACCTAGGTCTAGGCATATGTGATACCTTTTCAATTGTATGAAACTTCTCCCCTTACTACTATATACCTTTCGTAAATGACATAAAAAGAAGGCAACAACTGTTTGCCCAACTCTAAATTACATCTAGCAAATCACTTTTCCTTAGGAGTCCTTTTGTTGGCTAAAGCCTGCTTCTCCTTCTTGCCAAGATTCTTTATATCTAAGGATACAGAAGCTTGTTGCTTTGATGGGATCAAGATTTAGAAGCTTAGTGCTTCTTTAGGGCTGTTTGCATTTAAATAGCTTAAACTACTGCAGGGTTCTTATGTGATAATCCTGGAATAAGATGTTAAACCAATTACTGCCCTCAAAATAGGGTCTTGTGTTAGAATCTTATTAAGATAAAAACAGCCCTAGCATGAAGTTGGGGGAGGAGAGGAATAACACTCTTAGTCTCTAGGGCTGAATTTTATAGTCCAGATTTCTGTGTAGCATTTGTAGTTATGCTTACTTGTTTTATAAATAATAATTATAAGTGGGCAAATTAGTTGCTGACTACTTCGTATTTTGAACTGAGTAGTGAGAGGCTAAATCAAGAAAAAGAGGACTGATTAAGGCAATATTGAAAATCTGCTCCTTAAAATGAGTCCCACAGACGTTTTAAACTTTATTTCCGAACATGCTATTTCTTAATGCCAAACAATGCCTGTTTATTTTTCTTCCGCCTGGTCTCACAAAATATTTGAAATGACAAAACAACAAAATTGCCACCCTCACACACATACCAAAAGCAGAAATTAATAAAATCAGAATCCTGTTTCTACTTACGTTAAATGTGAATATGATTCTAATTGCCAGACTTGCCAGTATCTAGTTTGTGACTTTTTAAAGACATAATTAATTTTCTCTGTAATCGATGGAAATAAGGCCACATGTTTAAGATCTCAAAAATAATAGACAATGGATTGAAAATCAGACAAATCTGAAATAAATAGAATGCACTGAACTAGAATTGAGTTGGCTGCAGGAAGGGCTGGGTTAGAGATATGCAGGATTGGAGGCCAAACAGACCCATAAGGATTTGGGGAGTGTGGCAGCATGAGAGATTAGACAAAGCTGTAGATGTGAGTCTTTGAAATGTCACATAGATGTGTCCGTGAGAGATGGGCCTCAGACTCACAGGGGAGTCTGACAGGTGTTCAAGCAGGCAGATGTTGCTAGGGATACAGGCAGCCAGGAGAGATGCCCAGCAGCGGATTCCAGGGCTCAAGCTAGGACCCCACATCTCAGAGTAACTGGAATGGTTCCAGTCGGGTGGTTCCAGACCGAGGCACATTAAAAATAATGGATCAGGGCTGAGTTGGAAATGGGAGCAGTGCTGGGTTAGAGTCTCCGCTTCCCCATGACTGGTCCAGAGCTGGGATGTAAGGATGAGGTTTCACCTGAGTAGTCACATCCCAGCTTTACAGCTTTACAACTGTTTTCCTTTCTGCCCATTCCCTTGTTTAGATTTCAAAAGAACTTATGAACAAAGGGCAGATAAGTTTATTGGGTAGGCAGAAAGCAAATGTAAACAGAGTACAGAATCCTGGAGGGGGATTTTTGACATCGTAAAGCCCTATGGCTTCATGTGACAGATGGGACAATTGAGGCATAGGGTCTTGGTATGTGTAAATTGAGTCCCTAAGACCTCATATTTAGTTAAAGCAGGTCTCAGACATCAGCCAGCATAAGAATCGCCTGGGGAATTGAGAACCAGATTCCTAGGTCCTGTTCTCTGGGATTTGGATTCAGCAGGACTGCAGTAGGGTTCAGGGTTCTGCAGTTCAAACAGGTTCTTAGGCGATGCTGATGAAGGTGGTGCTGCAGCTGAGCCTTGAGACTAATGGGAAGGCCTCCTTTTCTTCTCACAGTCTAACCACCTTTTTTCAAGTCCCATTTTGTTCAGATCTTTCCTGGATGCACCAGAGCTGGCCACCGTTACCAGCTCTTGCCCAGTTACCTTTCTGAGCTCTTGTAGTTCTAAAAACACTGCCCTTGTCCTCTCCCGGCTTCTTGCATGTGAACATTTGGACTAAGTCCCTGCTCCTTCATGATACTGTCAGTATCATGCAATAAGGTGAGGCCTACTGATTGTTTTCTAAGCTTGCTTGGTGCTTGTCTAACATAAAGTCTAGAGTCCTCCTGTAAGTGTCTAGCACACGATGTTAAGAACACCTGAATGACAACCAAAGGGAGCTGTGATGTGTGGGGATGGAGAATGGTCCACACTTAGGGAAGCGTAGAGCTAGCAGGAAGCAGGGGAATCCCAGTAGAGCTGGCCAGATTCTGAGTCTTCACTTTGAACCCCTCTTCTTACTCTTCTTAGCCATGCATGATAAAAGCTTTCATAAGTACTAATAATGGTATTTTTGAAATACACTGTGGCATGTCTATTCCCAACTCAATTTGTTTTTAACTAGGTTTCCTATTTTGAGATCTACTTGGACAAAATAAGGGACTTACTTGATGGTAAGTAACCTCAGTGCTTGTCCTTTATTTGTTCTGTAACAAAAGTCCGGGGAGGTTGAAATGGTTTATCACACTTCTGCTTAAGGAATTAATGAAAAGTTATAGAGATACTCTGTTGCCCTCAGGGTATATGTTCATTCTCAGCCAAGGCTTAAACTTGCGTATTGCAAAGAGATTAGATTTGCCTGTCCTTTGTAACAAACTTCCATTTTTCCTCCAATATAGAGTCTTTAACTTTTATTTTCTTCTTTGCATGCTGTCATTCTCATCTCTGTAGTATCCAAGACCAACTTGGCCGTTCATGAAGATAAAAACAGAGTCCCGTATGTAAAGGTATGAGGAAGATTTGATTGGTGATGCCATTAATTTCTCTGCAGTCTCTGTCATAATAATTATTACATAAGATGCACAGAATATTATCTGTAAAGAGCATATAGGCATTTAATCAGGCTCCTTAAATTTAATATTCATCTGGTTTTAAAAGCTGACATTTATTTTCTTCAATTGTATCTTTCCTTTACGACATTATTATTTAACATTATTCACATTTAAAGAGGCTTTGGTATTGAGTGCAATTGTTTTTACTTTGCAGTTTGAAACGCCTATTATGGCATTATCTGTGGAACATCAAAGTATCTATTATTGGCGGCCATCGTGGTAAATAAATAAAGATAGAAGGCAAAGCAAAACTTCATCCATTTCTTCTCTCATTGATTTTCTTCTTTGATTTTCTGTCTTCTTAAAGTGTTGCTGTTGAGTATAAATATGTACTCAGAAACCTAGGAAAACTTGACAATTCTTTTTTTGGTTTACTTCTGTACCTCCTAGGGCTTGCTCAGACTTCTCTTTAATGTAGAATTCAAGCCCTGGGCAAGGAGGAGAAGTTGTTAGATCGATATTTCAGCTTTTCTATTTATCTGCACCTCTAGAAGATAAACAGGAAAATGTTCCAGCCTTTCAAAATATCGTTGCTTTTCAACTCTTTTAATGTTGAACCTGAACTGATTCTCTTCCAGGGGTGCACTGAGCGGTTTGTGTCGAGCCCTGAGGAAGTCATGGATGTAATAGATGAAGGCAAAGCAAACCGACACGTGGCTGTGACAAGTAAGCATGGTGGGGGTGTTTCCTCCCCTGTAGCTTGGGAGACAGATGTCTGCCTACTAACCGAGGGAGGTGGGGAATGAGGCACAAATGAAAGAATGCATGGGAAGGTGGTTAGAGAGCAGTGCTCGGACACACACGCTAGGGTATGTGTGCTATGAGTGTGTCTAGGCAGTCATGGGAAAGGGTGCCGTCTGCTGTCCACAGGGCTCTGAGGTCTTGGAGATGTTGGATGAGACTTACTGGACCCTGATAACAGCCTAAGCCTGAACGTTAGGAAAATTAAACAACCAGCCAACCAAAGGGAGGGAAAGAGTAAACTCCTCAGTTTGTTTATTTGAATCATGTTATTGTTCAGGTTAAAAAAAATTCCAAGACAACAAATTCTATAATACGTTGCAGTCACACACGTGGAAATAAACCATGTTAGATTTCTGCCCTCTGTAAACAAGAAAAAGAAAGGGAAGAAGGAAGTCAGAAAGCAGAGCCTGGAGCTTTAGGGAAAGCCTTCCGACGTGTTACTAGCAGACACATTCAAATCGGCTCATTGACTCTGCAGTTCCTTCCTCAGTATATTCATTGCGTCTCAGGGAAGCAGTGCAAATGGGATTCGGGCAGCAGAGGGTCCGTGAAAAATGAGAGTTGTCTATGCTATTAAGAGGGATGTGGACAAATGAGAGTGAGGTCACATAAACAGAAGCTGAGAGAACTAAGGGTTTATAGCTTGCGTGAGGGAAAAAATCTAGAGGAGGGTGTGTGGACGATATAATATATCTTACCGTGTTGAAGGTGCTGACACTAAGAAAGAGGGTCAGCTTGTTCTGTTCCATCTCAATGCTTAGAATACCCATGATTGTTGGAGCTCTAGGGTGGCAGATTTCGACCCCTATGAGGAGAACTCTCCAACCATTATAGCTGCCCCAAGTGCAGCCTGCTACCTAGTGAGGTAGTGAGTTCACTGTTATGTTGTAAAAGAGATTCAGGCATTGGTTGGCTGACTGGTCTAGACTCTTTAAGTGTCTTCTACCCAAGACTCTCTGATTCTGTGGTCCAGAACTGTAATTCTCAACATTTTCGCTATCTGAGCAATGTATCAGATGATATTCATATATATAGCAACTTTCATAGGTGAGCCTGGACCTGGATACAGTGTTGTTCAAACTCCACTTCTTTTTCTCTTGCTTAAAACCCACACACACACACGAAAGAATGTAAGACAGATATTCTTACAGTAGTAGCATCTCTCATTTACGTTATTCACTCTGTTTCTGAAGCTGTTTTTAGTTACAAATTATTTATGGCATATCCGATAATGCATTTTGGTGCCTTGGTTTGGAACTGCTAGTCTAAAAAAAAATTGCTATTATTCTTACCATTCTGGTAAGGTTTTTCTTTTATTATTGCAATAAAATATACTTAACATGAAATTTGCCATCTTAACCATTTTAAAGTATGCATTTATGTGACATTAAGTACCTTCACATTGTGTGCAACGGCACCACCTTCCATCTCTAGAACTTTTTTTATCTTCTCCAACCAAAACTCTGAACTCATTAAACACCAACTCTTTATTCTCCTCTTGCTCAGTGTACTTTGTCTCTATGAATTTGACTGCTCTAGGTACCTCATATAAGTGGAATCATAAAGTGTTTGTCCTTCTGTGACTTACTTCACTTAGCATAATGTCTTCAAGTTTCATCCACGTGCTAGCAAATGTCCTTCCTTTTTAAGGCTGAATAATATTCCATTGTATGTATATACAACATTTAAAAAATTCATTTAACCATTAATGGACACTTGGGTAGCTTCTACATTTTGGTGATTGTGAATAATGCTGTTATGAAGAAAGGTGTGCAAACATCTATTTGAGTCCTTGATTTCAATTCTTTTGAGTATATAAGCAGAAGTGGAATTTCTGGATCTTATGGTAATTCTACTTTCAGTTTCTTGAGGAACCGCTCCTATTTGCTATTATTACTATTTTCTACAGCAGCTGTACCATTGTCTATTCCTAACAGCAGAACACCAGAGTTTTCATTTCTCTACATCCTTGCCAACTTGTTATTGTTACTATTTTTTATAATAGCCATCTAAATGGTGTGAAGTACTGTTTCATTGTGGTTTTGATTTGCATTTCTCTAATGATTAGTGATGTTGAGCATCTTTTCATGTGCTTATAGGCCATTTGTATATCTTCTTTGAGGGATGTCTATTCAAGGTCTGTATTTATTTTTTAATCAGGTTGATTTGTTGTTGTTGACTTGTAGGGAGTTCTCTATGTATTCTGGACATCAATCCCTTATTAGATATACGATTTATAAAATTTTCTTCTATTCCATGGATTGCTTTTTTACACTATTGATAGTGTCTTTTGATAGGTAAAAGTTTTTAATTTTGATGAAGTGTCTATTTTTATTTTGTTGCTTGTTCTTTGGGTGTCATATCCAGGAAATTATTGACAAGTCCAATGTCATGAAGCTTTTCTCCTGTGTTTTAGTCTAAGAGTTTTATAGTTTTAGTTTTTATTTGTAGGTATTTGATCCTTTTGGAGTAAATTTTTGCATGTACTCTAAGGTAAGGGCCCAACATTAATATATTTTTTGCATGTAGATATCCAACACTATTTGTTGAAAAGACTGTTCTTTCCACATGAAATGGTCTTGACACTCTTGTTGAAAATCATTTGACCATATATGTGAGGATTTATTTCTGGGCCCTTTATTCTGTTCCATTGATTTATATGTCTGTCTTTATGTCAATACCACACTGTTTTGATTACTGTAACTTTGTGGTAACTTTTATTTTTTATTTTTCCATAGGTTATTGGGGTACAGGTAGTATTTGGTTACATGAGTAAGTTCTTTAGCGCTGATTTGTGAGGTTTTGATACACCTATCACCTCAGCTGTATGCAATGCACCCTATTTGTTGTCTTTTATCCCTCGCCCTACTCCCACCCTTCCCCTCAAGTCCCCAAAGTCCATTATATTGTTGAAGTGTGAGACCTTCAACTCTGTTCTTATTTTTCAAGATTGTTTAGGCTATTTGGGGTCCCTTGAGATTTCATATGAATTTTAGGATGGATTTTTGTACTTCTGCGAAATATGTCATTGAAATTTTGATAGAGATTGCACTGAATTTGTAGATTGCTTTGGGTTATACTGACAGCCTAATGATATTAAGTCTTCTAATCAATCCATTTATTTGTGTCTTCTTTCATATCTTTCAGTCACATTTTGTAGTTTCCAGTGTACAAGTCTTTCTCTTCTCTGGTTAAGTTTATTCCTAAGTAGTTTATTCTTTTTTTTTTTTTTTTTTGCTATTATAAATAAGGTTGTTTTCTTAATTTTTTGGGTTGTTCATTGTTAGTACATAGAAATGCAACTGATTTTTTACATGTTGATTTCGTATCCTACAACTTTGCTGAAGTAACTGTTAGTTTGGACAGTTTTTTAAAAATGAATCTTTAGAGCTTTTTACATATAATCTGGTAAGATGGTTTTGAGAACTGATTGCTGATGAAGGCTGAATAGGATGGTCGCTGGGGTCTCTGTCTGCTTGGCAGACAAAGACGAGGTTTTGCAAGCATTTTCATTTCCAGTACCCCATCCTAGTGAAGCATATTTAATTTTTGAAACATTCTTTGCAGTTAGCATAGGTTATAGAAGTGTATGTCTTAATCCTTCCTTAGGAAAGTCTTAATCCTTCCTTAAGAAAGCTTATGATATTACTGATAAGGCAAGGCTTATGCACATGACTAAGATAGCCTACATCATGTATTAATCATGTTAAAGTCTGAGGAATTTAAAGTGAGGCAGGGGAGGAAGTAGTGAATTCTTCAAGGGGAAAGTCATGCTATAGTAGGAATTTAGAGGATGGGGCTTCAGGTAGAGCTAGAAAATCTGATATCTTAGACTGTCGACTAAGATTTTTAGATTAATTTCTTTGCTCCTTGAAGACATTTAAAATCTTGTCTTTCTAGAATGAGCATTGTTTTTCAGAAGAAACAGGGGTCTCAGATAATTTTTAAAAGTGGCTGGACTTACTTCAATGAAATGGAGCTACTAGGCATGACTTGTTATGCTTTTCAGATGAGAGGTTTGCTACCTAAACCTACATGTTCTTTGTAGAGCAGTAAACTATTTTCCTTTTCAGACATGAATGAACACAGCTCTAGAAGTCACAGTATCTTCCTGATAAATATTAAACAAGAGAATGTAGAGACTGAAAAAAAACTCAGTGGGAAACTTTATTTGGTTGATTTGGCTGGGAGCGAAAAGGTAATTGGTTCTTTATTTGTATTATCTATAATTTTCCCCTTTTATTTGCTTCACTGTGCAATGGTATAATTTTTATGCTCTTCTATTTTCCTGCTTTAAAGCACGTTTAAAGGTTCTGAGGCTCTGCCAAGGTGTTATTACATTTAACCCTTTTTCCCTGCTTTCTTTTCTGGTCCTGAGGTCTCTTATTGGTGTCGCAGGCAGGTACTTTGCATGCCAACTCTGATTTATCCCTGATGGGCCCTTATGATGATGTTAGGCAAGAGTTGGTTTGACTTAGCCTGTGGCAGAGGCAGCTGCACACATGTGGGAGGGATATTAACTTCTAAGAAAAGAATAAATCCCATGTTGTACCTGACTCTAATAGGCCAGGAACGAGCTTTGCCATTGGAATGTGGCAGTCCTGCCTCTGCAGGTTTGTTTTGCTGATAGAAGGTCTGGAACCTGGGGCACTCCCCGCATTCCCTGGTTCTCCCAGCAGTAGGCATGGGCTGACGGTATCCCATGTGGGAGTCCTTGGCTGTCTCATGCAGCGCGGCCTGTAATCAGCCTTAGCTGCAAGCCTTTACTGTTCTCTGGTTTTATCTAGACTCTCTTTTGTTGTCTACACCCTGACCCATGCCCTCCCAGGCCCTGGCTGGGGCTGTACTCCAGAGCAATAGGCTTCCCAGAATCTCCAGTCTCACTTCCATAGCACCAAAGACTTCTGCTGCCAAGCCCTGTCTCGAGGCACTGATCTCCCTTGAGCAACATCACAGAGCAAGGCCATGTGCACAATGCCCTCTGGCCTCCATCATCACTGACATCATGCTGATTGTCCCCATGAAGGCCAGCCTTGAAGCTTGGTCAGTCTCCCTAACTGTATGATTGATCACTACTTATTGCACTACACCACTGAGTTCCCATATGCCAAGTTATGGCGACTTACATCCAAGTAAGTAATGGTTACTTGGATTGTCCTCTAGTATGCATTTGTAAAACCGTGAGCGGAAAGTCATCTGTGTATTTCTAGTTGGGAATCTAAAATTTTACTAGTATGGGCTTGTAACTTTAGTTAAACAGATGTGCAACAGAATGGAAATAATGGAGCATTGTTGTTTATTTAGAGCCTAAATACACCTGAAAACTGCTTAATACTGGCAGACTGGAGTGGAGGCTTGCCTCTGCACAGTGTCAGTGGTTACTGCTAATGATATTTATGAGGTGTTTGAAATCATGTCCTTCACATAGTTTCTTTTGCTCACACACACCTGTTTTCCTTTGCCCTAGATGTGTCCATATGACTGTGTCAGTGTGATCTTGTAGAAGAGAACTCTGGGCTTTAGTTCCCATCTCTCCTGAATGGCGTTCTTCCCTTAGGTTGGCAGTCTGATATTTCTGGGGCTCAGTTTCCTGTCTGTCAAAGGAGGGTGATAGATGATACCTGCCTTGTATATTTCATGGAGTTAAGATGCTCAAATAAGAAAGCATCTTAAAATAACACTGCTTAAAATAACATAGACTGTTACTGTTTGTGACCCGTCAGCTACATGATTTCTCTATGTGTAAGTAGGGGAGCCACACAAACAATTCCAAGGGAGTTGAGAATCTATTCTATTTTTGAAATAAACCTCCCCCTGGACATGAATTCATTTCTGTCATCAGGAGTTTCTCCTTTATATGAGATTGGAATTTGCGTAGTTGAACATTGCTTCCTTGCTTCCTTTCTTGAGAGAGCAGCTGCTGCCCCTGCATCATTTGTCCAGTCAGCAGAGACATGAATCATGTTGAGTTCCCTTTTTTTCTAGCATCTGTAGACTGCCCTCTACCTAGAGGTAGAGATGAAATTACCAGCAATAACACAGCAAAGGAGAAACTGCGTGGTCCCCCTGGCTGCAGAGGAAAAAAAGACAAATTTACAATGCAATATACATTTGACTTTTCATTTCTCTCCCAAGTTTTTTGCTTTTTGGATATTTTTCATTTTTTCCTTGTTGTGAGAATAAGTAGGGAAGGAACAGAGTCTGGATAACTAACCCTACCACATCTAGTCATCTGCCTGAACTTGGAGCTTGTCACTTACATTTTTCCAATATGCCCATTCATTGTGGCTCAGGACAACATTTTCTCTTCATGCTTCCCTCTGGGCTCCCTTCGGCATGGGGACTGCGGCTCAGTCTCCCAGGGCCCGAGCTACCCATGGTGACAGCACTTCTGGAGCCTGGTTTCCCTGGATGGATGGTTGGCCCCTGGGGAAGCATCTGCAGCTCCACCACTTGAGGTATTTCAGCTATTCCACTAAAACCCAATTGAGAGGAAAATGATGGCAGGAGAGACCAAATCCCCAGCCTCATACGCGAAGGATGGTTTTTATCACTGTGGGTCTTCTCTACTTTTATTTTTCCTTGCTTTCCAGGAGGCTGTCCCCCTTTGCCCTTGTGTGAATTTGAAATTTCTACTTTGTGCTTCCGCTGTCCTGTGCTGCTCACTGCTTTCTTTTCTCTCTGGTAGGTCAGCAAAACTGGTGCCGAGGGAGCTGTTCTCGATGAAGCTAAAAATATCAATAAGTCTTTGTCTGCTCTTGGAAATGTGATCTCTGCTTTGGCAGAAGGGACAGTAAGTGATCCTGCCCCCGTCTATTAAATAATATTATGAGAAACCACCTTTTGGGTCCTCGTAGTCCCTTTGCCACACACCAGAGACTGGTTTGTTTTTCTGTTTGGAAAAGGACAGAGGGAATCCTGGCTGTGGATGCCTGCTCCCTGGGAGTTCCCATCTACTGAAAAGTATGAATGATGATGCTAATTTCCTATGACATAGGTCAAAGAATGGGCATTTTAAACTTGGGCAAGATCCAAAGACCCGGCCACAAATTCTTGTTTTACTCAATTTCTAAGCTCAGTGTCTTCATCCCTGACTTGCTTGCCTCTGGTTTTTCTCAGAATGGGCTGTCAAAACCAATACTTATTCTTTTCCTTAATAGAAAACACATGTGCCATACCGGGACAGCAAGATGACTCGGATTCTTCAGGACTCTTTGGGTGGGAACTGCAGAACCACCATCGTCATTTGCTGTTCTCCTTCTGTCTTCAATGAGGCTGAGACCAAGTCCACACTGATGTTTGGACAGAGGTATGTGTGGTCTCTCAGGACCCATCCTCTGAGCTAGGTCTTGGGTCTTAAGAGTGAGTGGCAAGGCCAGGCGCAATGACTCACGTCTATAATCCCAGCACTTTGGGAGGCCAAGGCTGGTCTCAAACTCCAAGGTCAGCAGTTTGAGACCAGCCTGGCCCACACGGTGAAACCCTGTCTCTACTAAAAATGCAAAAATTAGCTGGGTGTGGTGGCATGTACCTGTAGTCCCAGCTACTCAGGAGGCTGAGTCAGGAGAATTGCTTAAACTCAAGAGGTGGAGGTTGCAGTGAGCCAAGATCATACCACTGCACTCCAGCCTGGGCGACAGAGCAAGACTGTCTCAAAAAAAGAAAAAAATAATAGTGAGTGGCAAGGGGCTATTGTCAGAGAATCATAAAGTAAGGGACAAACAGCCTTTTACTCAATTACATCTAGCAGGTGATACGTAAACTTGAGGCATCACTTATTGAGGCCAAAGCAATAATTGTATTTTAAAATAATGGGCAAGAACATGCCAGTCAAAGGTATGGTGTTTAAAACAAAACAAAACAAAGCAAAACAGCTAAACTTATTTCAGATGTGAATTGGAAATGCGTTGGGGTGTTACTTTTGTTCTTCATGGCACTGGAGTCTACTTTTTAGGTTCATATTATTTCAAGTTTATAAATCTCAAGATTGATAACTGCCTTTAGCTCTGGTATTTGGGATCCATTGCACAGTTGCTGATAAAACACCCAGAAAATTATGTGAATGCAGAATAGAGGTATAAAAAGCAACGAAGGGGAAGGAATCTTTACCAGCACTGGAGGTAGGAGGTCTGGACTGTATGCTGAGAAGAGATGTAGATGACAGCTTCCTACCTTTAAAAATACCCACATGAGACTTCCTAGATCCCTGGGAGGTGTCCATAGGTGGGCAGCAGGTGTGACTCCATAATCGTAAAGCAAGAGTTACATGTGTGGTTTGGTTCATATCTTCCTTTTTTTCTTGTCACTTTCTTTTTTACCTACCCCCTCCCACTGTCCAAGGCCTGACCTCCTTCAGGCATGTTTCCTCAGTTCCAGTGTTTAGGTTCTATCCTTCAGCCCTCGTGCCTCAGTGTTCATTCCCAGAGTGCTTGGGGTGCTGTGGATCGGGCAATCTGAACATCTTCAGTGCTCAGTGAGCTGAGCTTAGGGCTGAGGTTGGATGTGGATTCTGCTGCCATCGGTTCATTTAATTCTGAACAATCATGTGATCTTTAGACAGGTCACCAGTGCTCTGTGGGCTTTAACTAGCTCATTTGTGAATGGATGCACAGAGCACTTCCCTGCCTCCTCCCTGGGAGTGTGTGTTGTGTGGTTATGCCTAAGGAATAGTTTAAGATGAGAGAAAGGACAGATGGGGGTGGGCATTCTGTCTGGGAAATTGTTATGGCTTGTTTAAACTGCATTAAGCCCCAGTCATTTCCTGAGCCCTCAACAGAACATAGAATTATGCAGCCATGGCACCTGTGGGATGTCTAAATAAATAATAATTATATTGAAATGTTGTAGAGCTAATATATCTTTTATACTGGATTTGGGTCCTTTACTTCCTCCCAAATTGCTTCCTTGATTAGTTAAATGCTTAGGCCAAGGGGGTTGCAGTAGGATAACACCTTCGTTCCTCAAGGGTCTCAGAAACCCACAAACCAGCATCTGCTTATGGAAAACAAGATCGCACCCTGCCCAGTGTCTTAAACTTGAGCTTTAACAATTTCCTCTGAAGACATGTTTGAGCAAACCAGCTCTAAATGCATTTATAAAGGAAACATCGCTTCAAAAAAAATCCTTACCAGCAAAGCAAAAATATTCTGGCTCTTTTCAAGCCACAGTCACCGTGGGGCATTGGCTATCTTTGCAAGGCCCAGTCACCTTGGGGCATTGCTGTTATCAGGAGGTATTTGCAGCGTCTACAGGAAGCATTTTGAATATCAGTTAGTGTCTAATATATGTCAGGTGTGTCAAAATTATAGCACTTCTGACAGCAATTATCTCACCTTTGTACAGAGTATGAAATCAAGGCTTAGGTGCAAAGCCATTGGATACCATACCTGAGACCACACAGCCAGTAAGTGACTAAACATGTAGGATGTCCTAGGATGCATAGTCTGAGCACAGCCCTTTGGTTCAGTAAGCTCAGTGTTGAAGCTAATTCTGCTGTTGACCCATTCTCTTGTTTACCTCTCCCCTCTAAGCCTCAGTCTTCTCTCTTATATAGAGAGAGATATAATAATGCCTATTTCAAGAATATTGGGAGGATTATATAGTTGCTTCAGTTTTAACCTAGCACAAGGGCTGGCATGAGTCCAGGTAAAAAAAGTTCATGACCGATGGCCAGCTATCGGTGATTGCAAGTTCTGCTTTTCTTTCGTCTTAAATAATCTCACAGTATTCAGCCTTGAAAAGGTCATAGTAGTAGATGGGACTAGACTGAATGTAATGCACTGTAACGGACAGCACTGTCATATAAGGGAGAGGATTAAATAAAGCAGAATTAGAATTACATTTTGGGAATGAACAAATAAAAATTACTGCAGATAATTTGGGCTTCCAGGAATTAAAAAGTGATGTAAATTATGTTTTCAAATGAAATAGGTCGGTCTACATTCTTTTATCAGAGTCATCTAGATTCTGCTCTCTGTGACAGCAGGGACTGAGTTTGTCACAGACATTAGTTTCTCATCAATGACTCTGCACAACTAGTTCACAGTAGGTGGTCAATAAATAAATGTTTATCAAATGAATGAACAGATGAATCTAAAGCTTATTGTGTAAGGTTATCTAAAGCTTATTTGTGTTGGAAAGTTAAGGCAGTTGCTGAACTTTGATGCCATTACATCCAGAAGTTTGGTTGGGTTTGGATCTGGTTTGCTTTCCAATCTATTATTGGAAATGTGTGAGGTTTCGTTCCTTTCCCTTTATCCCCAAGTTAGTTAATGGATTATTTAAGGATGCTGAACTACAGGGCCAATACCTGCTGTATTGTTAAATATACTCATTGAACCCAATTATACAGCAGACACAAGACTGAACATCAGATTAGACATGGTATGTGGTAGCTAATGAGATTAAGCACTTTGAACTCAGAAAAGACTGCCGGGCACATCCTAAATTCATTGTAATGAGTGTTCATTATATTCTTACTGCAGAGGTGGGCAAACCTTAGGGCAGCATGAGGTTCCTCAGTGATTCCTTTGTGGTTCTTTCAAGGACGTGAAGCGAGTACACGTTTGTTATTCTGCTTGACTGTACTGATGCTCTGAATAACACAATGTAGTATTTGTTTCGAAGCAGTTAAATCTGCAGATCCCTGAAAGCACTCTACCAAGAGTCCTGCTAGCATTCTTCAGGATTATAGGTTAGATACTGGAATTTAAAGGGAAAAATTTACCATGTCTATTTCTATTTTTTTTTTTTAATTATACTTTTAAGTTCTGGGATACATGGGCAGAACGTACAGGTTTGTTACATAGGAATACACGTACCATGGTGATTTGCTGCACCCATCAACAAGTCACCTACATTAGGTATTTCCCTGAATGCTATCCCTCCCCTAGACCCCCACCCCCCGACAAGCCCCAGTGTTTGATGTTCCCCTCCCTGTGTCCATGTGTTCTCATTGTTCAACTCCGACTTATGAGTGAGAACATGCAGTGTTTGGTTTTCTGTTCCTGTGTTAGTTTGCTGAGAATGATGGTTTCCAGCATTCTGGTTCTTCCGTTCAGTCGGGGTTGTTTCCTTTGGTTTCCTGAATGCCCAGCATCGTGCCATTAAAGAAGTAAGTGCTGTCTCCTGCATTCTCAAAGAGCTTTTAATCTAGTTGAGGATGCAGCACGTGAATTCCCAGGCAGTAGAAAGTCAAAAAGCCAGACTCAAATTAGAGCACTTTTATTGATTTTTTCTTCTGGCTTCCAGAATTCTATTTTGTAGTCTTTAATTACTCTTCTAAACTACTTTTACAGCACTATTTGAAAAAGATATTTATGTTTTAGAAGTGTGAACTCAAATCCCCCGATTGTGTTGGAAGCCAATTTTAATGTACCTTGATTTGGGGTGGTAATGAAGGGAAAGAGGCCCTCTGAGGGGACAGACCAATGTGGTTAGGAAGACCTGAATCAGCACATCTTTGGCACCAGGATTTTTGATTGATCCAGCATGAATAATTCAAAGGCTTTATTTGTATGTTGAATGTGGAAGGAGAATTGATATCTTAGGGAAAGTAATATTCTTTCTTCTTTTCCTGATGTGCGCTTAAAAAAGTCATGTCATCATTTTAATTGTGTCATCTGCCAGTTTAGTGGTAGCTAGATTAGGCAGAGCCTGAATAGTGTGCATATGAAATGTACGTCACCAGAACATGAGAACATGTTACCTGTGAGAGTAGAATGAGCATTTTGGCCAAGGCAGATACTTGACTACACTTTGACATGAAAGAAAAAAAGGCTTAAATCATTCCTGTTGGGGGAGCTACTGCTGAAACACCAATAGGGTTAATTTTTGCTCTTGGAGGGAAGAAATACTGTGGGTGACATACATTTAACTAGATGCCCAGTCCTTATCCATGTCATTTCTGAATGTTTCTCAGGTGACTAGAACTTTTTAAAGGCACAAGATTTTAATTTCTCCTTCCCACCCTCCTTCCTTCCCTCACCAGAAGCCGGGAAGGTGCTTTGGAGCAGTGTTCCTTTCAGAAGAAGGCTTGGTGTTATAGATGAGAACTAGGTCTCAGAGTAAATTAGAAGGTTAGTTTTGGATTAGTTTTATGTGTCAACTTGGCTAGGCCGTAGTGCCCAGTTACTTAATCAAATGCAAATCGAGGCATTGCTGTGAAGGTACTTTGTAGATGTGCTTAGCACTTACAATCAGTTGACTTTAAGCAAAGCAGGTTACCCTCAATAATAAGGGCGAGCATCATCCACTCAGTTGAAGGCCTTAAGAGCTAAAATGCAGGTTTCACGTAGAAGACAAAATTGT